TAATTTTTTGCAACATGCACCTGGTCTCCCCTCCCTCTGCACCCCTCCCCCCACCGGGAACTCAACCTTTCTCAAAGAACATGTACACTAACACTTGAACCTGAACACACACATGCACGTGTGCTGTGTAATGTGTTTTGGGCCATAAACATTAAATGACAACAGGATTGTACGGTTATGAATGCATAATAAGTTAGTTATGATGTAGTTAAAACAATATTGGATGATATTCGTTTTTTGTGTGTGTTTTGGACTTAAATAAATCATGGGTCAAAATTGACCCCGCGAGCACCATGAACGGTAACAGCTTTTGAACACAACACAAGGGTTAAGAAGTCCTCCTATTGTCTTACATCCCGGGCTATACTGCCTACTTTAGGTGTTAAACATCCTTCTTTTTATTTATTTGGGCTTCCATGTTAACACACCACACATTAGCTTTTTTACTACACTGAACAAAAATATAAACGCAACACTTTTGTTTTTGCTCCCATTTTTCATGAGATGAACTCAAAGATCTTAAATATTTTCTATATACACAAAATAACCATTTCTCTCAAATATTGTTCACAAATCTGAAAAAATCTATGATAGTGAGCACTTCTCCTTTGCCAAGATAATCCATCCCACCTCACAGGTGTGGCATATCAAGATGCTGATTAGACAGCATGATTATTGCACAGGTGTGCCTTAGGCTGGCCACAATAAAAGGCCACTCCGAAACGTGCAGTTTTGCTTTATTGGGGGGGTCCGAAAACCCTAGGGTTAAACCCTAACCCTAACATGTCACCCATTGAGCATGTTTGGGATGCTCTGGATCGGCGTATACGACAGCGTGTTCCAGTTCCTGCCAATATCCAGCAACTTCGCACAGCCATTGAAGAGGAGTGGACCAACATTCCACAGGCCACAATCAACAACCTGATCAACTCTATGCAAAGGAGATCAGTGTATATATATTGCTCGCATAAAATCCCCGGGGTTTTTTGCTTTGTATGTCGGGGGCGGGAGATTCATGTGATTGGTTGTTGGTCGCGTTGCTCGCAAAAAATCCCCAAGCTCTCAGACACGTCCAGCTCCAAGATTTTCAAGATTTTTTCAAAGCTGCTGTGTGGACGTACCGTTCGTGTGTGTTATCTAGTTTGTTATGTAAACGGTCTGCAAAGGTTAAAATCCCAAAGTTACATGGAGTTTTTCTCCCACAGCATTGGACTCCTTTGTTTACTCCCGTAACATCGGGACATCACTTTATAACACTACGTGATTGGCTCAGGGGCGGGTCATCTTTTAGCGGTGGACTAATCAGAAAAGACCCGGCCAGCTAACCATCAGAGCAGGCGGGGTTTTGGTTTCAGACAGAGGGTGAAAAGAGGTGCTGCAGCACAGGCAGTATGAGAGAAATAAAGAGCTTTTTGAACATTGAAGCATGGAAACATTACATCACATTACATGTCACTTGTTAGACGATTTTATCCAAAGCGACTTACATACTCAATACCGTGGGCAATCCCCACAGGAGAAATTTGGGCTGAAGTGTCTTGCCCAGGGACACAATAACATGCTGACTGCAGCGGGGTTTGAACTTGACCCCCTGATCCGAACACCAACGCACAACCCACTACACCACGCGCCTCCCTAACATGTTACAGAAAAGGCCCAAAAGACAAATATGAACCTGAAAATGTTGCATAATAGGGCCCCTTTAATCCGGGACACTATTACTGTAATTCTTTGTATTACTGTTTCTTTCCCTCTGTATGTAATATATTTGGTCATTATAAGGTAATCGTAAACAGTAAAGGAGGAGAGAGAGGTAACACCTGGTGCAGTAAGGGCTCATACATAGGACTAATGCTCTACCAGGTGTTTATTTGGGGCCAATTGTAGTTCATAAAGAAATTTGGCTAAATATACTGACATTCCACTACTGCCGCTTTTAAATTGATAGGCTTCACATTAATGCTATCATCTCTACAACCCCGCATGTATAGGCAAGTCCCGTCAGTGGGCAGCCCAGGTGCAGTTTTTTTAGGTTTCTTTCGGTCTGGAAACTCTGAACAATCCTGTCCCCTTCTATTATATTGAATGTTGCAAGACAAAAAAGAAAGCGTAGTTGTCTGCCAGTGAAAGGATACTGTATTTGTTGCGGTGCATGTCGCTCTGCTGCAACTTCTGCAGCTGGTGATGTTTCCTTGTGTGTGTCCAGGGGTTGTGTGTGTGCTGCGGTACGGCATTACTGTGACTGCTGTCCAGTCTGTAGCAGAGCACCTCGATCTTCTCCTTCAGCCTCTGATCGCTGGACAGAAGAGGAAAAGAGAACATCATTAGATTAAGAGGATATTATGTTGCTCAATTCAGTCCATACTTGTTAACATAAATTACTCTCTCAAACCCAGAAACATGAGAAGTAATTCCCAAACTTGTTATGTCATCAAGTATGAGGCTATAAAGTGTGGAGCTGCACCATAGAAACTGTATCAGAGACTTATTTAGTGAAGCCCCAAATTGTTTTTTGGGAGAGAGTTCATGTTTACTTATGCTTTTGGATTGCTTCAGACCATGGTAATAACAAGCAGAAATGTTTAAATAAACATGGTTCCCTAGGGGGCAGTAATGTGTATAAATAATTAACCAATAAAATAGTGTCCTACACTCATTATAATCTTAAAAAAGCATTTAAAATACACCTCCACAACAATTTTACTGTCACGGCTAGTTTTTGTGTTTGTGCACTGACATGCATCTATTGCTGTTATGCAACCCTGAAGCTATGATTCTCTCTGCACGGCATTCAGAGAAAGTTTCTAAAGGGAATGTAAAGACTGTTTTGAAAAGATCACGGTTGTGTAAAATTTCTGAAATGATCAATGAATCCACTTTAAATACATTTACATGAGGCAATGTTTAAATGTTAAAGCGAATTATTTTGCTCCTGCATGTTGTTGTTGTTGTTGTTGTTGTTTTTGTTGTTGAGTACATCATTACCAAGATTTAAAAAAACAAAGCAAGGAGCTACGTGAAGAAATATTAAAATCTACAGATTTTTAGCAACAGATACTACACATACATCTGTACATACTGTACATTTATCCTATATTTTAATAGCATTTTATGATTTCTTATTGTCCAAATAAAAAGTTCTGAAAGCTTTTTCATTTGTTAGTTTGAGGGTCCCTGTCATGCTTTTGGGGTTTCCCGTCTCATGTAGTGTGTTATATAGGTTTTTGTGCATGTAAATGGACTGCAAAGGCGAAAATCCACACTCCCCCCCCCCCCCNNNNCCCCCGCTTGAGAAGACTCAATTGGACTCCTTTGTTTACTTCTGTAACAAAGTGACATCACTATCTAACACTCGCGCTTCTATTGGCTAGCACTCAAACACATTGTATTTGATAGGCTAAGGGGCGGGACATATCTAAGCGATTGACCAATCACAACTGAGCCGGCCAGCTAACCAATCAGAGCAGACTGGGCTCTGGTTTCAAACAGAGGGTGAAAAGAGGTGCTGCAGCACAGGCAGTATGAGAAAAATAAAGAGCTTTTTGAACATTGAAGCATGGAGACATGTCCCAGTGGAGACACAAAATACAAATATGAAAATGAAAATTTGCAGATATCCTCTTTAATACTTATTTCACTAACTTAACCCTCCTGTTATCCTTGGGGTCAATTTGACCCCATTCAATGTTTAACGTAACTAAAAAAATGGTTCACATAATTTTTTTTGCTTAGTATTTCTTGATTTTTCCTAATTTAGTGAGGACTAATGGGTAACATAAAATTAACATGAAGATCTTTTTTAAATGTCCTGTACGCACTTTGCACGCATCGGTGTTCCTAGGGGGCAATTTGACCCCAGGCTGTTTTAGTAGTATAAAACATAAAAAAAGGCCAACATTTTACACATATTTGTGTAGATTGTGTAGGATGATATTGAGGTGACTATTACATGCAAATGTATCATTGTAAAAAAAACTACCCTCTGCTTTAATCATTGGTCCTTTAACAACATCAAAAAGAACTTACTTTAACATTTTATTTCAGACAGTGAGATTTTATGGTGATTTATATATTTTTCGATAGTCACATAATAGGAATTCTGGATGTATAAAGGGGTCTGTGGGAGGGAAGGTTGGGGTAATGTTTTATTTAAATGGTTATTTAGGTAGTCAACTAAGATACCTAAAGCACCAGAGACATACATTTAGTTTAAAATGTGAAATATGATCATTGTCTTGAGTTTTAAACTACTGGGGTCAAAATTGACCCCAGAGGATAAAGGGTGTAAAGTAAATTTGAGGATAAAAGGAGGGTTAAAAAAAAAAATAATACTCTTGAAAAGGGACAAAATAAGTAATTTCAAACAGTGGTGGGGCTACCGTCTCCATTGTTAATGACACCAATGCATTGACCACACTTTCTGCTTTATGATGATTATCAAGTCCCTGAGTGTACTGCTCTCTTTTTTGGCAGAATTTTCCAGCTCACCTTTTGTCCTTGTCACTACAAGAGAGGCGGCATCGGCCATCTTTGCTGTAATTTTCACTGTCCACAAGTGACGAGGATGCTATCATTTTCTCCCATATAAGCATCCCCAAATGTATGTTGGCTGAGGGGTCTTTGTTCTCCAGATCAGGTGCCGGGTCACTCTGAAGGGGGTAAGCAATGAAGCAAAGGTTCCCTTCCTCATCCTCCTCGAAGCTGACTGACACCACCCCTGGGAACCAGACACAGACGGGAAAACAAAGACGTGTGTTAGCCATTTGTGTCATGGAGCAATGAAGAGAATATGTATTTCATGAAGAATCAAAGCACAAAAAGCTGATATGATAATACAAGAGGAATGTCTGCAGCTACTTTCAGATTAGTTTGTGTCCACACCCAAATCTGTCCCAAAAATAATAAACAATGACAACATCAATATGCAGGTAGTGTTTTTCTGTGTAAACTCAAAAACAAAGTATGCTGTTAAATAGATCCAATGATAAGAAGAATATATCAATATAAATAAATGACAACCCAAACACAAAAAGGCTCAATAAAGTCAATTTATTTTATGTTTTGAGAGAGCTGCAGCAGAAATGTAAACAGAAATCACACTTTAAAATGGAATTACAGAGCAGTTTTCATACACTACATGCGTACACATACAACACATGACCAGGGTGGCTCACAAAGGTATTTTTCCTGAAATGTTATTCGGTTTCGTGAAACAGGTCGGGTGTTTTTAAATGTTGTTGTTTTGTGACAAATATTATTGTGATTTCGTTATTATTGTGAAATATACATACAACATATCACCACACACATACACAGACATATATATTTTTTGATGCTATAGAAATTGAGAGCAGAACAAATATTAGTCAACAGGTTCCCCAAAACTTGTTTGATTCTTATAACAGCTTTTCATCCCCAAGGTGACTCAAGAAGAACGCAAAATAAGGTGAAGGACTCAAGAGAAGTAGAGAGGAAAAACATCTGAAATGAAAGCACCATTGCTACAAAATAACAATGGCATGTTGAGGAGAAAAAAAAGGTTGTTATGTTTTGATATAACCTGTAACTATCCCATATGACAAAAAACCTGAAGCGCTTTTAGAAATATGTCACATGTGTGAGAGAGGCGTTAGATTATTGCACTTCCGCTTATTAAGAAGTGTGGAAATTGTCCATCATGCTCCAAATGCTTTTGTCATTTTTAAAGATCCTACACAAGGTTTGGTGGTGTGACTGTCAGTTTTGGTTTCAGCCACAAACAATCATGTACAGTACAGGTTTTGAAGAATGTCTATGTTCTCCTTTCAAGGTGACCTCCTGCTTGGTTTGTAGATCAAAACAAGGAAGAATCTCTTCTTCCGTATAGCCCTTTCACCATGCTGGCTGCGTGCCAAATAAAGAAATGAGGGCAAACCTGACTTACCTATGTTAGTACAGCCTGTACACACATGACATCACAACAGTGGACAGTTTGAAGCTCAGCTGCAGCACCCTCCTGTGGCACAATGGTGCACATGCTGCTGGCACTATTTAAAAACAACACCATGTTTCCTGAAAATCTCCAAATCACCATTTTACAAAAAGCTTGCAAAACATAATTTCCCTCCTGACTTGAACATAGGCACATAGAGCAGGGGCACAAGGACAGAAAGATGCATTGTAACACACCAAAGCACCACAACAACAACAACAACAACAACACATCTTAGCATGGCTTGCATTACCTCTATACTGGGGGATAAACTTCCTCAATTCAGCAGGCACACTCTCGTAGAACTGATGCTCCCGTGTGATGAGGGGTTTGCAGATGGTCTGCTCCCCGAGGCGCAGCACACAGCAATGCCCCCCCACCTGGTGTAGGAAGGGCTCAAGCATCACCCCTTTCTCCATGTAGCTCTGCTGGAGCTGCTTTTGCTGCTTTTGCTCTGCCTCCATGGCTTTTGCTGCCTGAACGTCCACAGCTGGACCCATCCTCCTCTGGCCCCGTCCACACTACCGTGGGCATTAAAGCAGGAAGGAGGAAATAGAAGAGAAACAAAATAAAAAGCCAAGTATCAGAGGATATGTTATTCCTCCTTTGCTACTTCTATTGCAGAACACAAAGTCCTCTAAAATGTGTTTAGGCTGGAGCTGCAGTGGCACAGAAAGCAAACACAGACACACAGATCCTGTTTGTGCCTGCACTTCAGACTGAATGCTCTTTGACAGCTGAGAGCAGGCTCACCACTGGTAAAGCTCCTACCAGCCTGACACAGATCCCACCCACTTCACAAGAAATCCACCAATCAGGAGCACCGAAAGCAGGATGTTCCCTTCGAGGGAAAGGAGCAAACCAACAAAGAGAGGGGAGGGTGAGAGCAGACTCAATGAGAAAGAGGTCAGAAGAATACAAAAAAAGCAGAGAGGGTGAAGCTGAACCAGCTGTTTTTCTCTGTGATGTTTAAACAACCCGACAGAACAAGCGGCACTATTTATTCATTTTAATGGGGTCAACAGAACAAGGGGGAGATTGTACACCACAACTGTCCTGCAGTACTAAAGAGAACGTTAAACATAAACACAATTACTTCCTGACTACAGAATACTTGGCTCGATGATATGAGCAAAACACAGCGCAGAGTAAGGACCCTTTCATTGTAATGTTGTTATGCTTGCTAAGCATAAGCCTGCTCTCTCTTTAAACTGTGGGTTTTTCTCCGGAAGTTTTTCCTTGTACGATGTGAGGGTCTGACAGAGGGTGTCGTTTTGTCATACTGATATTCTGCACAAACTGTGCTGGTGTATTTGCTGTAAAGTGTCTTTACTGTAGGTTATTTTTTATTATATGTAGGCTACAGCACTTTGGCTCGACCAAAAATCGTTAAAAAAACTTGATTTGATTTGATGCTTACAGTAGTAGTAGTAGTAGTAGTAGTAGTAGTAGTAGTAGTAGTAGTGGGAGTTTACATCTAAAACTCTGTGGCCACCAGCGGACTTGTATATTGACATTGTAGAAGCCAAGTTGCTCAGAAACACAGGCTGCCTAACAAGTTATAACTAGATTCCTCAGTAAACAATCTGATCTGAGAACATCTCATTCCTTCCTTGTGAAAGTCCCCCAGCGATAACATGATATCACAAGACTATGTTGAAACAGAGTATGATCAAAGTGCTGAATTAAAATCCAAAAAAACTACCCAAATTAATCAAGTTATCAAGTTTGACCCCAACATCCTACCGTAAATCAAGCGTGAATTTTTACCGGGAATTCCATGGCATTGAAAAAGTAAAGCAGTATGTATTGTTGACTGGAGACCAATGGTATTCAGGAAGTAATCATTACTACCTTGGTGTAATGGCACACCTAATCCATGACAAATGGCATCTGCACGATTTTCTCTTTAGGTGGCAGTTTCTTGAAGTTGCACAGGAGTGGGAGATGGCGGACGAGATCACCACAGGAACAGATAGTGCTCGCTATATGAAGGCAGCAACTACTGATAGCCGAATAATCACATCTTCAGAAGTCATTAGGTACATTTCAATCCATAAAGCTTTACTTTATTAGAAAAACATCATGACCTAAGGCGTCTGTAAACGTGATACATAAGAGGCCCTCAGAGATAGCGCACTGGATTGGTGGAGGGAGGTTATCTGAAAACACACTTTAGATTAACATGAATCCAATCTATAATTAGCTAAGTTTAATAGGTGTAAACATTGATGACGGCTGAGACCTATCAAGTACTATCAAGTTATTATTACTCCTTCAGCCTATTGTCTGTTCCATGAACAGGTTTGTACATGGCACCCTGGGGCCACCCTACACATTATTTGTATGCCCAGTTTATAAAAACTCAGTTTTATCCATATGCAGTTTGTCTCTCTTCCAGCTGAGGATACCTGAAAAAGAACCTTGTGATAGACTATAAAACGTAATATTAGCCAACAAAAGTTGATCGCGTGTACAACGGGTTTTATGGGCTTGTGATGTTAAATGAAAACAAAATGTGTTGGGTCCCCTGCCTTTAGTTATAGTCCAAAGTGAATTTCTGCCAATTTAGTTGATAAACAGGGTATGGAAACTTAGTTGAATATGGAGATGTAAATGGCAGCTGAGTTCAGGATGTGGATAAGGGAAAGTGAGGTGATGTTAGAGGGTGACTGAGAGCTGCAGCCAGAGTGGGAACTATGGTCCTCATTTCAAAACCTTTCATTGGCACAGATTATTGCATCAGACAAAATATCTGATTAAGATGCTGCTCGCTGCTGTTTCCACCTTGAAACTGCTCGTTGGAAATCACAGATGAGTCCATGATGTGTTAGCAAAACGTATCACATGCTTATCAGTGTATGGTGGCGTGTGTTTTGTGGGCTTGTGATGTTTGTTTTTGTGTAAGTGTGAGTGTTTGCTTGTGAGCATGTGTGTGTGTGTGTGTGTGTGTGTGTGTGTGTGTGTGTGTGTGTGTGTGTGTGTGTGTGTGTGTGTGTGTGTGTGTGTGTGTGTGTGTGTGTGTGTGTGTGTGTGTTGGCCACTGATCAGTTGTTCAAGGAACAGAGTCAGAAAAAGCTGAGCAGTAATCTCTCTAATCCTGCATCGTGGAACACAAGAGGGAAATACAGGACATGACACACAAGTAGAAAATAGCTACACTTAAACACACGTGTGATTGTGGACAAAGAAGTCGGGTGGCCGCTGTAACTTCCTGGGAACCCCTTTACAAACCCCCTGCTTTCATTATCTTTCATCAATGGGCACCTTAAAAAACAGACCATTGAATCCAAGTCCAACTTGGTAGGGAAAGATCTTTGCAACATCTGACTCCCTGTTATCACCTCAACTTGTCGTTAAGATAGAGACCAACACACAATAAAGGATATTTTGCTGTCAGGCGGCTGCACAACTATAACATCATGATTTGACTGTGGGTCACAAATGCAACCTGTTAACGGAGGATAAAGGTGAACCCTGAGTTTATGACAACGTGCTTGTCTTGTCTACAGATATGTCAATGTCAACTCCTGTATTGCATGTTATATTAAAATTACCACAGAGAGAGTTGGAATTGACAGATGGCTGAAGATGGCAAGGGGTCAACATTATAAAAAAGATTAACTGCAAACACCAGCGTTATGGAGTTCCTCAGGCACATGATGTGATGAAATGAATTGCTTGTTGACATCCACAAAGCTCACAGACACGCTGGCAAAAACATCAACAGGTGCATGACAGAAAGATTGCCACATTTCCACAGCTCGACTCAAATTAACTTAAAGTGGACCTATTATGCTATATTGGAAAAATATATTGTAGGGCCATACCTATAAAGAACATGTCTGTGAATTTTTTTGCTTCAAATACCAAACAGATCACCCATTGTAGCCATGCCTCATACTGCTCAAACCCCTCTTTTGCAGCCCTGTTAGAGAAACACGGATTTTGGGTCCTTAGCTTTAAAAAAAAAAAAAGGAGGCGGAGCTAATGCCATTTTGCATGATAGGTCCCTTTTAATTAACTTTTGGTCCAGGCACTTTATCAATTGTGTATTCTACTGTATAATGTATGCCCTCAATGTTTGCAGGACTTGTATGCTGCTCTCCACAAAACAAAGCCAGACAACACCTTCAACGCGCCACAAATACACAATTGAACAAAGCTGGATCACCTCTTCTGTTACCAAACAGAGGCATGTCTTGTCCAGCGCACATTTTTAGACATTCAGTTAGAGTTACATTACATTACATTTCATTACCAATAGGAAACAAAATAAAGCAGGTCATGCATGTTAAGTTGTGCCGTGCCATGCAGTGGAAATTGAAACCCAAACTGGAAAGTGAATAAGTTCCATGCAGTGGAAATGACATGCCGAAGAGAGAAAGAAAAGTTATTGAGTTATTCAGAAACAGGACAACATGCTGACCATGATCATCAGATTAATGAAGATCAAAGGGCTCACTTAACAAACTAAATCTGTGAGCTTTCATCTATCAACAAAAACAGGGCAGCAAAAGTGGAAAGAGTGATAGTAGTTAGGGCGTTGTTTTATGAATGAAGGCTGCGGGAGCTCCAGAGGGCTTTACAGCTTAATCAGGCGTCCTAAAAATGTGAATGGCTGATATGTCTGTATTAGGAGAACTCTTGTGGAGAAGGATAGTAGGTGAGGGGGAGGGAGGGGATGATAGAAAAGGAAGGGTGGGTGAGGTTTGTCTTTTGCCCTTGTGTGGCCATGGACATTTGAGGAGGAGGCTAATAAGGAGGTGCTGAGGGAATTTGGATACAAAACAAATTGCAAATTACTAGAGGGGTACGTGAAGGGCAAAGTAACAAAGCACACACAACATATCAAATACTTGGACGGGTCTATTATGTGCTTCTGTACCAGTAAAACAGCACAAACAAGCCTACAAACAACTTGCTATATGTCTTGAATAATGATTTTGAGCATGCTCAGTATTTGTCATGCTTCTGAGAACTACTTAATTGACGTTTTTGGTAAGGCTAAACTGGGCTAATTCAAGAGACTTAAAAGATTTAGGATGAGACGTGGAACCTGAATGAATCGGCATGCGACTGGATTTACCTGGACTTATTTACCCAGTGGCCCAGGGCAAATCGTGCTGAGACACATCAACTTACAATACATGTTCTCAAAACACTCAGCAGCCATTAAGATCACACATGCAAACAGGCAGAAACAGGGTCAACAATCCAATAACAACAACACATCAAAACAAACACACAATCTCTACCTGTGCTTGTCTGACCCCCCTGTTGATTTGTGTTTTACAGACTGGTCTCCTCACATGACATCACGCCAGATAAACCGCACTAACCAAACGCTCATAGGTCACAAAACACATAAGCTCCCACTAAAAATAAAACATGCTGTCAGTCATTCATGCTGCCGACTTGCTATTAATAAACTGGAGTTTGCTCCATGCCAAATACAAGAGGCAAATCAACACAGGGATCAGAGAGAGCGGAAACAATTCACTGGCTGCCACCACAGGACAATTTGACACATATTGAAAACAGGTCCAACATTTACTTTGGTGGCGATGGCCGAAATAATTGGTCATCGTTTTCATTGGAGAAAATCGACTTAGACCTGCTGCTCTTCGACTAATAAAGGTAAGGAAGTGGCTAAACCAACACATAGAGGTTATTTACTCTCAGCGTCTTCTTTTTAAACCACCTCTTGTAAAGCTCAGCAACACTGCATTGAAAATA